AAGGATGCAGGCGGGGTGGAGCCCACGGCCTCCTCGCTGGCATTCTCAGAGGACAAGGTAAGCCATTGTGGATGCGATATGAGATGTGTCATGTGATCGAGGGTCATTGGCTCAATGGCCCACTGACTGGTTTGACGAACTGGCTCGGTTGGGTGCACTTGCCATGTGCTTGCCCATGCAAGCGATTGCTTCTTCAGCATCACACATACGACAAGCGTGTTCACTCCCCTGGCGTTTGTTGCGTCTTCTCCCTTCGTCCCTCTTCTCACCCCTCGTCTCTCTTACTCCATCCCTCTGACTGGTGTGTGTGTGTGTGTGTGTGTGTGTGTTGTCAGCTGACGGAGGAGGAGAGGTACGCACATACCGTCGTCCACCGCATGTTTGAGGAGATGCGAGACAAGGGCATGTCGCTCAAGCAGGCCTTTGAGCAGATGGCATCCGACGATGGGTCCCCGGGCGCTTCCTCCCCAGGTGCGGCAAATGCCTCCACCTTGCAAACAGATCTGCATGCCTTCCATTTGCTCGCACACACATCACACGAAAGCGCACTTTGCATACGCACACACACACACACACACGCACACACACACACACACACACAAACATACATACACACACACACACACACATGGCAGAGGAACATCGCGCCAAGCTTGCACATTTGCTGTCCACGTGCACGAACACCGCGAGCCAAGCAGATGTGGAGGCGATCTGCAACTACTTCCTCGCCGACCGCAAGGAGATTGAGTTCATGGAGATTATGCAGGACATCCTTGTCGAGCACGTCGTCTACCAGCTCCACCGCATCAACATCAACCTCAGGTGTCTGTGTGTGTATGTATGCGTGTGCGTGAACGTGCACGTATGCATGAATGCATGCGTGTGCAGCTGTTCTCTCCACCTCGTGAATGCACAAGTCATGCCTGTGTGGCTTCCCAACTTCCACCCACCCCTGACGACCTCCCACCCCCTTTTCTCCTCAACGCATACATAATGCACAAACGTGTGGCAGGCTGCTGTTCAAGCAGCACGACCTCAAGTCCTATGGCTACTTGACCGGCAGCCAGTTTGCTGCCATGATCTCCACCGTGTGCCCACTCCCAAACACAGAGCTGCAGTTTCTGGTTGGCCTCGTTGACCCCAACAACACGGGCCGCATCGACTACAACGCCGTGTACCACCGCCTGTACCAGACAAGCCGCGTGCTCTCGCGCCGCTGGGCGTGGATGGCATCTGCCCGCCACACCATCCGCAGCGTCGTCGTCATCACGCGACACGGCGCTCGCTTCCCGCTCAAACCGTTTCCCCGCGATGAGCACTGGCCGAAGGAGCCGCACTTCTGGCAGTCGTTTGGCGGCCGGTGAGCGGGCTGTGTGTGCGTGTGCGTTTGTGTGTGTGTGTGTGATTGTGTGTGGGTGTGTGCATTTGTGTGTGTGTCTGTGTGTTTGTGTGTGTGATTGTGTGTGGGTGTGTGCATTTGTGTGTGTGTCTGTGTGTTTGTGTGTGTGTGTGTGTGTGTGTAAATTATTGTTCGTTGGCCGCATGCGCCACGCCTTCGCGTCGTCACGCCATCATGTCGTCACATCATCACCACGCCCCCACGCCAATATCCAACCCACTCACCCCATGGTCGCGCACACCAACACACCACCCCACCACAGCCTCACTGCCGTGGGCATGCAGCAGCACATCTCGCTGGGCCGGAAGCTGCGCCACAAGTACCTCCACCACGAGCAGCTGCTTGACGAGCAGTGCCCAGACCTTAGTCTTCGTGTACAAACGTACACCTCCCACGCCGACCGCGCCCTCATGTCTGCACAGAGGTGAGGTGATCATGCTGCTGCTGAAAGTTGTGTGCTTTGTGTGTGCGTGCGTGTGTGCTTGTGGGTGTCTGAAACTTGGCTGTCTTGAAGCCAATCCTACACCTTCATACACTCGCCCTTTCGAATACTCATCTTCGCACTCACACACACACATACACATACATATGCACATACGCGCGCACACATACGTACACATACACATACACATACACATATACATACGCGCGCACACATACGTACACATACGCACACACCTCCCTTGGGCCGAGTGCAGCCTGCTGCTGGGGATGTTTCCTGGCACGAGCCCGTCCTTCCGCCTCGATCTCCACGGACGCTTCTCCACCAGCCAGAAGGTTCCGCCCGTACAGGCCGCAAAGTCCCCCACGTTCACAGGAAGTGAGCAGTGCATGTTGCCGGTGTTGGTGGCTGTGGTGGTGTTGGTGGCTGTGGTGGCTGTGGTGGCGGTGGTGTCTGTTGCCTTATTTGCCATTTGCATTTGTTACCATCACATGTCCTCACCAACCCCCATCTCTGTTCCACACACCCGCGACACACACACACACACACACACACACACACACACACACACACATGTGCACATCACTTGCGAAGACTCATTGCCGATCCACGTGGCGAGCGAGAATTACTCTCCACTGCTGCACGGCTTCAAGTCAAAC